CTCCCTCCCGCTGCGTCGTGTTTTGTTGTGCCGCCGGCTTCGAGTCAAATGTCAGAGGCCGTCAGAAGCACAACCGAGGTATGGAGAAGGAGTCCTCCGTGAACCGGAGCAGCATAGGAGCTCTGCGCTCATCCGCATTCTGTGTGTCCTCCGGCTGGTCTCACGTCGTCGGCGGCCGCCGCCCCGCCCCCCCTTCCTCTTTTAGATTTCTTTCTCCGCGGCGGGCGGTAATTCCGTCATCATTTGCAGCTAACTCGTTTCCTGTTCCACTTGTTCTTATTATCTTGTTTTTTGCCCCCCCCCTCCTCTCTCCCGCTCTCTCGCTCTCCCGCGCGCTCCCGCGCTCTCCCGCTTCTCCACTCTCTCACTCTCTCCAGCTCACTCTTTCTCTCTCACACCTAGGCCCGGGTGGCGGTCCAAAACACCCTTAAACTGCAATTAAGTGCGGCGGGGTGGCAAAGCAGAATGGTGCCCGACGGTGGGCCAAAAAAATAAAGATGAATCGGCAAACGCGGGAGGAAACAACGGCGATGGACGATGGCATGAAGATGACGGGAATAAGGAATGAAGCGGAGAGGGGAAAGAAATGGGTGGCGGGTAAACTGGCTCGAGGAGAAGGAGGGGAGCGAAACCCTATTACAGTAATTGCCGAGGACTTGGCTGCAGGGGTTGGACAGCAGCGAGGCTAGGCTGCTGCTGGCGCTGCTGCTGCTAGGCCCCCGGGCCTGGGCCTCCCGGCCTCCCCTAGTGGCCGTGCCGGCCGTGCCTCGTTACAAGCTGTTTGTGGTTACGACAATGGAACTGAGTGCGGTTTCAGAGAGCTGGCTAGGCTGGGCGCCTGCTGAGCCGCGCGTCCAGGCGTCCAGTCTGAGCGCCCGCGGTTTGGTGTACTACTCTATTTGGAATCAGCGGAAAGGAGTGAGAAATGCCAAGGCACTCCTTCGCCAGAAAATCGTTTCCTTGAAAAAACATAAGGAAATTATCTTTCTCTTGTTTCAAGGATATTTCCTTCGTTAACGACAAAATATCATTAAGTTTCTTTGAATCAAGACAAATTTTTGAAAGAAAGGGAAAAACTTAGTTATCATTATTTCAGGTGAATTTCGTCGACGCATAATGCTCATTTTAAGGGAATTTCCTGGTTTCAAGAAAATGATTTTCTGGGTGCCACTTCTGACATCTGTAGGAACACGAGCAACGAAACGGGCGAAGGCCAAACCTGATTAATGGTGTTTTAATGGTGCTCACAAATTCTATCCTACTGTTCCTGCTCACGTGACGTTTTAGGGAGGCCGTGTGGTGTGGGTGTGTATCAGGAACCTAGCATCGCTATCTCGCCCCCTCCCCCCGCGCCACACCTCTTCTCCCCCTCTTGCTCAGCCGGCAACAACAGCCGCTCATGTGGCGTATCTAACAAGCGGGTGGGCCCCCCGGCTCGTTGTGCGAGCCCTGCCCAGAGCCATATCGTTAGTGATCCGCCCTCCTCCCCGCCCTCCCCTTCTCTCACTCGCGTTGTTTCCCTCTCCCCAATATATCCCCCCCC